TGGAATGACCTTCCTCCGACGGTTGTACACGCTCCTTCTCGAACCCAATTTAAAGCACTATTAGACATTTATTTATGCGAATCCTCGCGCTGGCGAGCATACTGCCCCGCGCTGAGAGCATAAAGAGCAGTGCTACACCCTTTTTTCACTTGTGCCTTTCAGGTGAACGACAGCCACTGACCGACAAGAACAAAACAGACCCGGGATGGGCGGGCAAAAGCCTCGATCCTGTGTATCAATCCGTGAATCCGTGAATTCAGATACACCACAACTGTCAAGGTCGTCCGAGCGCGGTGGTTCGATGTTACGGCTTTTCTTTTGAGGGTATGATGTAGTCTGGTGAACTACTGAAAGGTATGGACGATCTTGCACGGTATTTTTCGAACAACGAGGATAATTGCAAACAAAGCCCGCGAAATTCACGAAGAAATGATCGAAAGGCTGGTAGAAAACTAGCTAGACCAGCGTCTTTTTATCTTGCATTTGATTCATTGCTTGTTAATACTGGGTTTGAGTACGAGCACCATTTTGACCCACATGATGACACGTGCTGCGGAGCTAGCTGGAAAAGAGCCCATGGATTATCAGTGCCCACCGGCGGCAGTTTGGATTTGTGGAGTTCCGAAAGTTGTGGTTGCGTTTCCGCGCTTATGCCTCACCAGTTACCGCCGGAGATTGAGGCAGGGAACATTGAATATAAAGTGAGTAAAAGTTAGTGATATATTGATTCAAATGGTGTGAGGTTTACAGTGTTTTCAATCACTAGAGTCGTGAAGCTTTTGGGGCTCGAAATAGCTCAGTGGTTCAGGCGACAGATTGGAAGGTCCCCTGTTCGAACGTAACCCCTACATATCGAGTGCTCCTGTCTAGGCTTGGGCACTCTGGCAGTACCCTAGTCCTCATGCCACCTTCCGTTGGCATGGGAGCTAGGCACCAAAAAGTTGCTACAGCTGTTATCTTTATTTACTATAGATATCCCCAGTAAGCGCTGTTAGTTACCCACCGGTGGGTCTGTCAACCAATGGCGATTCGGCATTCGAATTTCCTCGGTCTTTTCGGAGAAAATGTGTACTCTTCGGTGGCTAATCGCTGGGAAGCAGCATGATTTTCCAGTTCAAATATACCAAAAATGAAGTCTTCCCAAGTTTCACGTCTACTTTTTTCGTGGTCACTACCATCAAAGACAGCACCATCAGGATTAACGATGATGCTTCACTACCGTACAGCCACATAGATCATCCAATTATAATTAAAGTGAACAGAAAATTTGGTGTGGGAAGGGATCTGATACTGGCCTATTGCAAGTTGTCAGGCGCCTGTGCTTCCAAACGCTCAACCAGACTATCTGGAATGCAATTCACAATACGAACGCCACTGAAATCGATTGGCAGTCATTCCATCCAATGTCTCCAGTCAAACGCATTTGGGACGGAGTTATCGAGACCCCATGCTTTAAGGCGTACCGCACCAACAATACCGAAACTCTTCATGATCTCTTTCACATCCTCCAGCCAAGCCATACATTGTTTACCTCGTAGTTTGCGTCATTCTGAAGAAGACATGGAGAATAACACTCCTATCGGTAGGCGGTGACTCGGCGTGCGCAGAACATGGCCGAGCAGCTGCAGTTGATAGTTCTGGATGTTTTCCGCGATTGAAGTACTTGCTGCACAACCAATTGTCCGTTTTATAATTACCCCATTACGAATTCCTTGCCCCAATACGACATCAGCCGCGCTTCTAAGGCATCAGTAGTGGAAAAACTGAAGACGCCTCACATTATTCAACAATACAGTCTTTATCATAGCTTGGTACACGCGAAAGTTTTGTTGCTGCAAGGTGCAATAGCAAACGTGATTAGGCTTTTTGAGATTCGCACACTGACTTCATCAGGCGCACTTCCGTCAAAGCTAATACATCTACCGAGGTATCCTAATTTCTCCACAACCTCTTATTATCCCCTTTGAATTGTAGGGGATTGTATTCTTCAAAGATGACATTGTCCGCGTAATCCATTTCTACAAAGTTCTTACCGGCAACAACTTGAACACCAGGGTTGTGAAAACATTTCAGCGGTCGCTTAATTGTTTCATCAGTGGTGAATCTGAACAATGACGATGAGAGCCGACATCTTTGCCGCGCATCACCTTTTGTAGAGAAGCTTTGAGGGAACTCACCATAAACTTACACGCCCAGAAGTATATGAATGTAGGACCGGATTGTATTCACAAGCTTCTGGCGCATTCCTCTTTAGAGGGACGAGTTAACAGCGCTGACTGATCGATGGGCAAGTAGGTGGACAAATTCAATCAATATTGCACCTGCAAAGCACCTCTGATATAAATTGCTAAAATAATTAATGTCCGTTTTTTCACTTTCTCGCAGTCTTTTCTCATGGTCCATAACGAATGCGCTCGGGATTTTTTGGTGATTTTAGCGCGGAAGGCTCGCTATTCGAGCCCGACATTTGCACCTGAACTGTTCTTCTCTAGGCTTGGGCAACATAACAGTACTTTGGGAGGCTCGGCAGCTGGGTACCGAAACAATATTACATCTGGGCTGGGATATTACCAAGTTGCCCAAGTCTTGACAGGGGAAGTCGAGAGGCAGAGGTCGGGTTCAAAACACGGACCTTCCGGTCTAACCACTTAGCCGTCTCGCTCAGGACACGTGTGATCACCTGATTTCCGTTCAGTTGCAGATAACAGTCTGGTGACCACTGTTCCGCGGCGCCTATAGCCATGTTGAGTTTACCAGCCTTATTCTTCTGAGACGAAGGTCGTCTGCAGAAATCAACAGAACTTGAAAACACGTAGCATAGTTCACTTACATTAACCAGGAGAAAACGAGTGGTCACAAGACCGACCTTAGCAGTCTGCTGAAATTGAAAAGTAGGTTGACCCGGCTTTCACTCGGGCTGTCATACCAGAAGAAAAGTGGCGACCCAGCGTGGGATTTCTCCTTACGGTTCAACTTTGTGTGGCAGCAGAATGTATGGAACTTGGTACAGTGCCCTGGGGAAGCCGAAGTTGATTGTGCCGAGATGAGCACTCCATTTTTGGATTGTGTATGGCTGTCCGTAATAAACTAGGAGCCGTTTCTTATAGGTAAAATCCTCGAAATGATCCCTTTAAAGCAAGCCACAGCTGTTTGCAGGAGGACGGTAGGTGGTCACTTTTTTCAATGTTAGTTCGAATGTAACTTTCTTCAAAACAGATAATGTACTGGTTAAATCGGGTAATTATCGAATTGTGGGGTAAGGGTGTTTCTTCCAATATTCTTGCCCAGACATCACCTACCGCCAAAGCTGTGAAAGGGTTTTCCTACGGAGCTTGCAGTTCCGCTAAATACAAGTCTGTTGGGGAACTTTCTTAGGTCATCATTGAGTTTTCTGGGTTCGACAAGGCTGTGGTTATGGATAAGGCTTATTTATCGCTTGCCGTCACTTTGAACCGCCACGGTTGCATCGTCACGGATAGCAACATCAGTGATGACACGGATGCTTTACCGCCTTGCACTACAGGGCTCATTAAGTTACATTTAAAGCATAAGATGAAAAAGAAGGAAGGACGGTAGGGACCAACCGTGACTATTCTGGGTTGCCTACATCATCGTTATCGTCGACCGCACAACGCCACTGCTCGGTAGTAATATTTCGCTGCTGTACGACAATTATTCATTTGAAAGCCTCACTGTCACGGAACGAATAAAAGTGAAGGTAAAGAGGACCTAGTGTCTAGTCCGCCTTATTCATTCCGAGCTATTTACACCTTCGGACATTCATTCGAACAATCTGGATGGGAACCGACAACAAGAACGCCAGTTACATCAGTAGCTGTTTCTTGCCGCGTCTCCAACCGTTCATAATAGAAGTACACAGACCTCACCATGTTAGGCGCGTGGTATCGACATTTACCAGATTTTTCATAGTCACTTGCACACTCTCCTGCTGGGTTGACCATCTCTGTGTTTGCGCCACTCATTTTTGGGCACGGAAGACAGCGATGGTTCGGTATGTGCAATACACGACCAAACTACCACGGAATTTGGTGTTTTATACATCGCTCGGTTGAAAACTCTGTTGCACAACCGAACACCTGTTTTCTATTTGTCTATCTACGGATTCGCTGGCACCAACTTGCACGGGGCCGCGATTGACCCGGACCTGAAGACGTCTTGGTTCTAACAGTTGTCTTAGAGCCAAACAACGAAACAACCAGCACTTGAGCCTGATTTACATGTCCGTTAAGATTCAGAGATGTCGATTTGCCGCCAAAGGTATCTCAAATTCACAGACGCGTGAGGCTTAGAAGCTCACACATTGACTCTGTCTGTCACGGTACATTCGAAACTTTCCAAACTATGGGAAACGTTTCACTACCTCCGTCGTCTCTTGGAGTATGGGTGGTGTGCTCATTGACTGATTATCCAGGAGCACGATTTTGTAGTTGATAGGTGTTTACATCTACAGGCATTCAATCGGACAGTCTGGAATGAAACGAACGCTACTGATGTCGGTCAGTCATCCTAGTTCGTAACATCTCCAGCCAAACCCAAAAGGGTCACGGGAACCCAAGACAAACAACAGTACATGAACATCATGCCAGATCACACGTTAACCTAGCGGTCTGCGCCATTCTGAATGAGGCACGGTGAATACATTGCACATGGCCTAGCCAATGCAGTTGATGGCAGTGGATGCTGTCCTCGACAAAACGACATGCTGCACAACGGAGGGCTAATTTTTTGTCACGAATTGACTGGATCCTACCTCGATCTGCCAGCTTGTGCACCTCCGCAACTAATTGATCTTTACTGAATAGCGTGTGTGACGCAGAGAGCGTCTCACTAGTGGTTGGTTGCTATGTAGAGGTTTGGCTGACGGTTTCCTGGTATTGGGAGTTGGGGCATTTGTGGCGACTTGCTCCTAATGGTGTAGTATACTCTGGTAGTCTTTCGTCAACCACCGCTGTCGTGAGGTTAGGCTTTTATTTAGGATCCTAATCGTCTGGGCACCCTAGTAGTATCTCAGCCAACGTACGCGCAGTCTAAAATAAGCTCATGCCAAACCGGCCGTTGCATGATGCCATCAGCGTTGGCACTGATGCTTCACTGCCGTATAACCATGAAGTTCATCTAATTATATTTAAAGTTTTGCCATGAAGTTCATCTAATTATATTTAAAGTCTTGCAGTTAAAAGAAGAGAAGCAGTGGATGAGAGAAAGGACCTAGTGCTGGCTTATGTTAAGCATCCTAAGTTACCTGCATTCCCAAGCGCTCAACCAGACGATCCGGAAAAAAACTGACAACACGAACGTCACTGCCATTGACCAGCCGCCATTTCTTGTAATGTCTCCAGCCAGACGCAGGTGGGTCACATGGATCGCAGCCTGGAAGCCGTACAATACCAACAACACCGAAGCTCTTTGAGGTCTTCTTTACATCCTTCTGCCAGGTCATACGTTTTCTGCTTAGTGGCTTGCGCCATTCTGAAGTAGGCACGGAGAATAATACTAGCCTCGGTAGACGGTGTTTCGCCATGCGTGGAACATGGTGGAACCATCTTAGTCAATGGTGTTGGATGTTTTCCGCGATTGAGGTTACTGTCGCACAACCAAATACCCGTTTTATAATCACTGGTCACTAATCAGATAACGTCATCTAAAATGAACAACGCTTTTGAGGCATCGATGGTGAAAG